GTATTACATAAACAAAGGAAGTGCATAGTTATGATAAGCAAGAAAAATTCCTGGCCCCAGGGTCGAGGGTTCTTGTGAAGGGGGACTCTATTGATTATATATTGAAAATGCATGATTTCTTTCAAAATATTTTTCTACTCCTGGTTATAAAGCAAAGAAACAAGTGTATATAGTTATGATGAGCAAGAGTGCTTGTTCCAGAATTGTGAGTTTCATGGCCCCTGGGTCAGATGTTCTGGTGTAAGGGTGGGTTTATTGAAAATATACTGAAAATGTGTGAGTTCTTTGAAAATCTTCAACTAATTGCAAGGTTATGATGATGAGGGTACCTCTTCCAAATTTGTAGATTTCATGCCCCTGGGTCATGGGTCCTGGTGTTAGGGTAGGGCTGTGTTAAATCTGTAGTGAAAATGCATTTTTTCTTTGAAATTCTTCCCTGCTCCTGGGCATATTGGAGGCAAACAGGGAATTTTTAAAAGTTGTAATAAGCAAGGTTATTTTACCAAAATTTTGAACATCTGGACCATTAAGTCAAGTGTTCTGGTCCTGGCCAGGGCTCTATTAATTTGTATTCTACTGAGCGAAGTTATTCCCCTTTGCGATTCACCTTATTAGTCCCCTACCGGTGAAACCGGAGGGGACTATAGGTTTCCTCTGAGTCTGTCCGTCCGTCTGTCCGTCCGTCTGTCTGTCTGTCTGTCTGTCCGTCTGTCTGTCTGTCCCTCTGTCTGTCTGTCAGTCTGTCCCACTTGGTTTTCCGCACTTTTTTCCTAAACGCTTGCAGATATTGAGCTGATTTTTAAAATGTAAGTTTATCTTGATGAGTTACAGATCAAGTTTGCATTTCGTTCCGCTTCATTGATTTTTGACGGAATTACGGCCTTTTCAATTTTTAGGGGTTTTCCGCAATTTTCTTCTAAACGCTTGTAGATATTGAGCTGATTTTTGGTATGTGGCTTTACCTTGATTAGTCATAGATCAAGTTTGCATTTCGTCCCGCTTCATTAATTTTTGACGGAATTATGGCATTTTCAATTCTTAACGGGAACGGAACCAGATTACACTTGCCGGTAGGGGACTAGTATTGCTAATGCAATACTCTCAGAATGCTTGTTTAATTAATAGTTACTGTAAATAATGTATTTAAAAGATTAATAGAATAAGAGAATTATGCAAGAATATTTATTGTATAATACAAAAAATACTTTCATAGTTTTAATGATCAGGTAGACTTGGAAATAATAGATGAATAAAAATGAGACCAAAAAAACAACAACAACAAAACAACAACCTTTTTTTAAAATCTTCAAATGTCAAAAGAGGCCAATGTGAGAGGTAATAATACTGGGCTAAAAAAAGATACATGTATTTTGTTAATAGTCTGCATGGTAATAGTGATAAATGGGGGACAGATTAGATACTAGATCAATTATTTTGTTGATCCTAATCATACTTGTTTTCTTGCTTTTGGGCAACAAAGCTTCATTTCTCAGTTAATTTATCTATCAGTTTATGGATCCTCTAAATTGTCGTATTGTACTCAGGTGACCGTTAAGGCTCTTGGGCCTCTTGTTTTAATTTATTCTACGAATTTAGTGCAAAACATTTTGATACATATTAATTATGTAGGAATGTATTTGATGCAAAAATGTTTCGGGAGATTGTATTTCGGAGTATAGTCAGAGGAATGTCCGACAATGTCATTCACGGGTCGACAGACATGTACAGTATTCCTGCCTCGAAGCCAAAACAAAGGATGAAAGGGGGGTCATTTTACCTTCATGTTTGAAACAAAATTAAAGAGTAGCAACCAAAGGCGGATCAAGCACCGATGCTCATTAGGCATCCCCCCTCTACCCTTGTGTAATTTTTTTTTATTGCTTTCGTACATTATGTTTGGATAACTTGTAAATACACTTTTAATATATCTACATGTAACAATCAGGCACGTAGTATCAGCCTACTTTCCCCCCTCCCCCTTACGATTTTCGAGTTCTTGCTATCCTTGACCCCCCCCCCCCCCCTTTCCGCTCTGAATTTTTTGGATCCACCACTGATAACTATACGGTTTAATTAGTCCCCTACCGGTGAAACCGGAGGGGACTATAGGTTTCCTCTGAGTCTGTCCGTCCGTCTGTCTGTCTGTCCGTCTGTCTGTCTATCTGTCTGTCTGTCTATCTGTCTGTCCGTCTGTCTGTCTGTCTGTCTGTCCCTCTGTCTGTCTGTCAGTCTGTCCCACTTGGTTTTCCGCACTTTTTTCCTAAACGCTTGCAGATATTGAGCTGATTTTTGGTATGTGAGTGTATCTTGATGAGTTACAGATCAAGTTTGCATTTCGTTCCGCTTCATTGATTTTTGACGGAATTACGGCCTTTTCAATTTTTAGGGGTTTTCCGCAATTTTCTTCTAAACACTTGTAGATATTGAGCTGATTTTTGGTATGTGGCTTTACCTTGATTAGTTATAGATCAAGTTTGCATTTCGTCCCGCTTCATTAATTTTTGACGGAATTATGGCATTTTCAATTCTTAACGGGAACGGAACCAGATTACACTTGCCGATAGGGGACTAGTATTGCTAATGCAATACTCTCAGAATGCTTGTTAAATTCACTTTAATTTTTTTGTAAATACTAACAGCGCTATTATGCAGTTTCGTTTCAATGATTCTTATATCTCTCTCCTTCAAAATACGGATACAGCTTTCCACCGTCGCTAACAATAAACTATTCTGTATCGTATATATTTTGTAGTTATTGTGCAGTTACTGCTCATTCGCATAACGAAAAGTGTTCTGTACGGTTGACTTCAAAGAAAAAACTCGCCGGGTCATGTTAAGGACGACAAATCTAATTCTAAATTTCACGCCACTGCGCAGAAAACCGCGCATATGCCTTGAATCAAATTGACTTTATTATGTATTGCAAAAGATAAAAAATATACATTTTTAATTCTATTAAAGATATTCAAACGTTTCCTCTCAATTCAAAAATATTGTAAATATTTCGATTTATATTCATAAATAAATGATTTATTTGGCCAAGGTATTTTCATTGAAAATTTCCCCCAAAATGTGCCCTACACCTGAGTTTGACATGCCTCCCTGAAAAATCTAAGCTGATGACCTATTTATTTTTTGGCATAATTTGCTGGTAAATTGTCTTGTTAACATTGTCCTTTAATATGAATAAAAATTCTATTGCAGAATTTTTTTCAATGATCACTCTTATACCATACACTGGCAATTTCCCATTACTTCCTATAGTAATTATCGATTTTCATTGCCAACTTTTGAAACCGCCCCTCATTAAAAATCTACATCGATGACCATATGATTTTTTTTTTAATTGATTTTAACTCACCAAAAGCCACATTACCTCATATTAAAATTTGAATAAAAAATCTATTGCAGAAATAAATTATTTCCGTCGTCGTTAATAACTACAGCATAGTAGACATGGTAGATGCACACCAAACAGTAGAAATGGAGAAATTATTGAAATCTTTGTACCAAGGTTAATATGATTTTCTTCAAAATACACTATTTTTTATGATAAATAATATCTGACGGACGTATCATGTGCCGTGGCTGTGCACTTTTTCCTCTTATAGAAATAATTAAAATTCTTTAAATAACATTGCTTTAATTTGAAGCGACGAAAAAAATTATCTCTTTTAAACGACCGTACATTTTCATGGAAATTGTACGCTTTCATCAAATACTTCAAGGCTTGTGATTATACGGGATGGGCTCAGATTAAAAACTGACCTCGAGGCTTAAGTTTATGAATCAGTACCACCAGCACAAGTATCGATTGCCAGACATGCAATCTTTGTTTGAAATTCCGTGATGGATAGAATAAAAGACTTCAGCAGACAAATCCAATATAACGACGCCTTGCAACAGAACATTAAGTTTCAATTAATCAAAAACGGTTTTTTTTTTAAAGATTACATTAATTGACTAAAACAGTTACGTCCTTTGCTAAATGTGATTTTTTTTTACTCAAGGCAACTCAAAGTTCCTTACTCTACATAGGTAATATTATTATCATATCTTGAGAGCAATATTAGTAATATCATTTTATTTCATGACGTGTATTACTATGGAAATGTTAAACTTGTGTAATGGAAATGGAAATGAAAGACAGATAATAAGAATACAAGACCTTATTCACTAAAAATGAATAAGACAAAAAAAAACGTTCCAATTCTGTAACGATTATATCTAAGCAATAGGAAGTCACTAAAAATCTATTTTTCTATTACATAAGAACATATTGTGAAAATCTTTTAAGACAAAAATTAATATCTTCATGAAACAAAGGAATTACAAAGTTGTTAATTTATTATCGTTTTAGTCTTGAAGATTTTATGTGTAAAGGGCTACTGATCTGTAAGCAGTGTAAGGAAACAACTAAATTGATCCCGTCAAATTATATTTACTGTTAATAAATGTTTTATAGCGAGATAATGAGTATACATGATCAAGATTGGTCTTTGACAATATAGTCAATTCCTATCCCTAAATATAAATGTCTCGTATCTCTTTATATACATAGTCGGGTTTGTTTCCAGATCAGATCTTTACATTAATACACAATGTATATTAACAAAACACAGAAGACTGACATCTAATACTTAGTCTCAAGAAAACTTGTAGAAATGCGTGGGGATTTATGAAATAGTGGGAATTGCCTGTCAACTTTTGAGGTAATGTTCTTTTGCTGCACAATTTGGCAAAACATATGTAGGCTAAAGATAGAAATACTCTCCCAGGAACCAGAGAGCGATAAAAGCAACCATTAAGTCAAATTAACTCTTCTCTTCATTTACAGCAAAATCGCTTACCCCCGGGAATTCTGACAAAGACAGATATAGAATAGTAAAATCAGAGTTTGCTCACAGGGTAAGAGTTCGTGACAGGAAGTCAATGAGATTCTAAGTTACTATTCCAAAAATGGAATCTTCTGAAAATGTCTCGTAACAATTTTGTTCCATCCATTTTACTTCGCTTTAGAAGCTCAAATGTTTAACCACCTCGCCACAGGCTTAAAGCCGTGACCGAGAGACGGTATCTGGGTGGAATGAACTTGGAACTGTTGTCCATTTTATGAATTTATCTGCCGCCGAGTCGTATCGATCTGGGATTTTCAATCATTACTCAGCATAGTTACACATTGGTAGCTTATGTGGTGTCGGATACACGGCGCTGTGGTCACACAGGAATCCCAAGTCCATTGGCAGATTAACAAGAGACTTCAGTCAAGTAAGATATCTACTTGGGGGATGAGGGCTAAATATCTGTAGAGCTAATTAATATAGAACAGAAATTGATGCACATATGAAATGTAAGGTTTCAAATATCAAATCTATAATGTTTAATGTTGCACTGGTTAAAATAGGATGCTAGTAGCCATTGAATTAATATATATATATATATATATATATATATATATATATATATATATATATATATATATATATATATCATTATATTCAAAGGACAGATTGATCTGATTTCAAGGAAAATTAAATTTGCTAATAGACTTGGCATTAGAAAAAAAATACGTTACCGTTGGGCATAATTTGATTCGTTTCAATAAAAATCGTATAGATTTATCAAATAATTTTTTTGCTTCGACAGCACTATGAGTGACGTTAGCAAATTAGAGTTTTAACCTGGATACTTTTTTTTATTTTTCCCCCTGTGATTTGGAGCATAATCTCTAGAATTTGATAGCAACGATGATATTTCGATTTAAAGATGTCCCCATAGACACTTGTTGGAAACCAAGTCATGCCATTACATTAATCTTTACTGAAACTTTGTCAATATTTTTCTTCCATAAAACAGCACAAAGCATAGAAAATGTTCAGAAATCATGCAAAATTACTACATCTTGTGTAATGATGTGATCGCCGCAGACAGTACCGCTATTTAAAGATCGATGAGTCAAATTTTTCAGATTATATTTGTCTTTAAAGATTTTGTGATAATTTTATTGTTTTTGGTCTGATGATTCAAAGCTCTCCGAATATTGATGAAGAAAAGAATCATTAAATACATCTTATTTAAACTTTAGGTTATCAAGATTCTGTGTTCAAAACTATGTGTGGTCGCCATAGTAACGGATAGTAACATTTGATTAACTAAAACAATAACAATCACTTAGATTTGGAATCAGGTTACCTAGTATGGCAAAATTAAAGTAAAAATGAGTCAGCTCAAACATTGCGGCTAACGATTTTCTTTCTGCGAAAAAAAAATTATCTGAAGGTTGAAGAAATAATGAGAGTTACTGAGCAGTTGTTGTACGGACCCATCATTCTTTTCTCTACATTGTCTCTTATTATATGTTGCATGCCAATAATCAAAATATGATATATTTTTTTTAAATACATATACACTAGCATATAGCAAACCCTGGAGTTTCCAATCTGCAAACTCCTAAAGTATCGAGCATTATAATATGTTCGAAATGTTCTTAAAATATCTTTGATATAGGTATTTTTTAGGCATCAAAATTTGCGAACATAGTATTCCTGACGTAGATTTGACGTAGCAGAGTTATTTTTGGTCTTCATGGTGGCGGAATCTCGCCAATACTATTGATTATTTTTGCATACAAATCACTAATACTATAAAGAATTTATTTTTAATCATCATCATGCAACATAACGTTGTTGAGAACTTTATTTGCAGATCGATTTTGGAACTTTTCATCCCATTAATTTCCTAGCCTCTCCCACCATTTTACTTTTACTTCAATATCGGCTTTTGGAGCAGCATCCTTTCAGTAAGAACAACCCCCGAGGAAATGGCTCAAATATATGAAGAGAAAAACACTTAATAACCATTGTTTCAGGTTCAAAATTAAAAGAATTCTATTTAGTTTTACTCTTTTTTACAATATTGAACATGGGTCGATAAAATACTTTTTCTGTTTTTAAACAATTGGACTTATCCTTTAACTATTGCTCTTAACCAAATGGATCATCACTTGCTTCTTCACTAAGGAGAAAAATTGGGTTTTGTCATAGTTGTCTGTCTCTCTATTCGTTTACTTTAATGTCTCAAAATATATCATGCTTGTTTTGTTTGAATTCGTTGACCTCGTTGTCACAAAATAATGACCATTTCTTAAATTTGGAATCCATGACTAAAATTAATTTAAACTTAAGTATGTTGTTGCCCACGGCATAAATGTGTATCAACACCCTGATTCAAGGTCATATAAAAGATATCAAAGTCACAGGATTAAGAAGGGATCCAATTTTGTTAAATATCTAGAGTATTTTTTTTATCATTGAGCAATCGGATTCAGCAAGTTATTAGATAACTGTGATAATATACATGAAGAGTCTGAACTGGAGACTACTTCAATCGTTAGAGTGGACGATTTTTTTGGAAGATGGTGCATGAACAGAATGCAAACATATTATTGTATTATATATTGTATTTCCTAAAATTGTGATTAGGCATTTTGAACTGTTTCCTGATTCATTTTAATGTTTTTGTTTATCATGAAACAGCCAAGCTATTACCTGCTCACATCAAATGATCTGCATCTTAATTCCCAAGTCAAGGGTTTCTTATCCACTCCGCTCCAGATCAGAAACCCTTAAGGTCAAGATCTAGTAAATGAAAGGTGCCTATAGATTTTTTCAAACTTGAGAATGCATGGCTGAACCAATCCATTATGATGTCATAATTATTTCACCGTATTTTACAGCTATAATATTGAATTATGTAGAAAATGGTGAATTTTCATGGCATTCAATTTGAAATTATCATTTGAAAAGCAATCCCGATACCAATATTAATATATATTCAGTTTAATATCATATCAAAGAAGAGGTCAGGAAACCTTTTCTGAAGGTAATCTGGGGAAAATGTAGGCCCCTTTCACTCACTATAGATCTTTACCTTAAACATCTGACACAGCATTTTATATTCAAACATTCAAGTCATCATGGCGTTGTTTACTAAACAATGCATTACATCAATGAATTAGCCTAGTGCATGATAATATTACCTCATTAATTTTTTCTGATTTTACACCAATCGGTGTGAGAATTTGATTAATATTCGTCTTGTTTAGTTGGGTTTCAAGAAATGTAACAAACTGTTGTTGATATTTTAAAATCCATTGATTATCATGTCTATATCATTACTTTAAGAAAATATATAGTAGGCTAGGTAATAAGACACTTATTTCATAACTCTCGGGAAGCAGTCAAACTGTTGTCCCTCGACAATGGGGAAGATCTGGAAAACTGTTGCCCTTGGCTTTCGGCCTCGGACTATAGTTTTCCAGGTCTCCCTCATTACCTCAGGAACAACAGTTTGACTCTTTCCCTCGTATCATGAAATAAGTATATACTAATCCCAGTAGTTAAATGAGCTTAAAAAAAAAATGCACACACTGAAAAAAGTGTTTGTGATTTGCTTGGAGACCGCAATATTCTCCAGCCCAAATTAATAAAGCTATCTTTGAACAATATCAGTTTCATGTTTCCCTTGACTCCTTGTTTGATTGCCACTCAATCAATATGTCCGCAATCTGGTTACACTGTCATTATTTCAGCCAAAAGCCGGTCAGCAAGAACATGGCCGACAGGACCAATCAGACGACATCCTCGTCCTTAAGTGTCGATACATCACCTTCTAATGAGTCCTTAACATCCGTCATGTGGACCACAACGCTTCACTTGTTGACATCTTCTGCTTCTAACTTTACCAATTCGTCTGCTCGTGACGTCATCCCAAATATTACAATTCTGACGAGGCCTTTTTGTACTGAGCCTGGTAAGTGAACCCTATTCATTTTCCCCATCTCTATTAAGACTTGCTTCACTTTCAGATGGTTTACTATGACAAACATGAAATATCTTCGATTGCTCCTTTGGGCATAATTTTCATTGATCATTTACTAGTTTATAATAACAAGTTGAGATTGATTACAAAATTGATTTTCAAAGTCCTTCTGTGTACCTCTAATACTGAACAATAAATAAAATAAATCTGGAACTTTAGAATAAGTAAATGATTCCAGATGAAAAGATTAAAAAAAAATATTTACTACTTCTTGTCTCTCGTTAAGATAGAATTCGTAAAAATCTGAAAATATAATAAGAAATTTTGCTATAGCTAGTAAGGGATACTTATAGCATAAATGTTGTGTTTGACAAGGCAACGTTGCAATATTGGAGTTGAAAGAAATTACAAGTAGTCAGTATGTATACATACCATTTTTGAAAGATCTTGTTTTTGCACATATATCCACATCTTATAGATCCTCATTTTAAAGTATGATATGATTCCGATGCAACATTTCTAATTTTCAAAAATTTACCCTTGTTGTTTTCGTGGCAACGACAGCCATTTTGGAAATTTTCAACTTGGGGGACACTTATACATCAGTAACATGCAGTTTGATATGTTTGAAAAAAAAATCCTTTTTTTTTGTTTGCATGGCAACAGTGACAAAGTTTATCCAGTCGTTTCATTTTCAGTGGCAGAAATTAGTGATTTGATGAAAGGAACGATTCTTCAAGATTTAAAATGAATTGGTTTGGCAAATACTAAGAAAGTTATTTTTCTTCTTTCGATTGAACAGTGGCAATTTTGAAAAAAAAAAGATGCACACACGACTACTGTGGTCATAGCATCCTCATAACTTTAGGGGTCCTGTGTCAACTCGGTGGTGTGGGACCCCTGACAAATTACTGTCTGTGTTTTCGGGCTTGCTTCTCTGATTGAGAAGCACCAATCAAATTGAAGTAGACAAATAAAATCAGTTGACACCTAGAATGCACGTGTTATGCATTGTTTATCAACGAAAAAGCTTAATGTAATTGGTTGAGAGATAAGAAAAACAATCAAGATTTGTAATTTTCCCAAAAGACGTTGCTACAGTCAGCCTGTAATATATCGAATGAAATTTACCAGGGGTCCACGGCAACGAGTTGAAACAGGACCCTCGACGTTTTGAAGATGATGGTCATAGAGGATTAATTCACTATAAATTTCATTAAAAAATGCGCTATTGCAATAAAAAAATTAAAAAAGACAAAAATGAAATGATAACCCACTTAATGGCCATACCGGTATGCTATAGACGTGGTGATCATCATTATTGTGAAGTTCCATTAAGATTGTTCAAGTCTTGTGCAAGAACTTGTGTGGAAAAAATGGTATGGAAGAAAAAAAAACAACAACAAAGAAACGGAATAATAAAAGTATGTCAGTAATTATTTTATAATTGTTAATGATCAATAATAAAATTCTGGAGAACGAAATTAAAATAAATGTCCTCAAAAGATTTAATAATTCAGTTTCTACGTCTCATGGATATTATATAACCCTTTAAGCATAAGTTGCTCTTAACCTAGACTAATCGACGTGTGTGTCAGACTTTCTAGTCTTGGCAACACAAAAAAGTTTTAAATGGATGGAATCAATCCACGCACGGTTTGATTAATCTTTTTTCCTTTTGTGAATGGGATGGCTTTAATTAGCTCGATAATTTTGTCCTCCTACACTTCTTTGTTATAGATCTTTTTTGTTGATATTAACAGTGCCACATTTCACGCCGGATATGATCAATTCCAGCTTTTTTCTCTCTCTCTTTCTATTGGTGATGGAAGTCATGCTCCCAATACAGCGCGCCATTATGTAAATTTCGGGAGTGAATGGTATTTAAGATAAGAAATACCATAATGCCCTTGAGATTCCTTATTTTTAGTATTATTCCTTTACTCGAGGAATCCCACTGAATTGTTTTAACTGTATACTTTTTATCCTTTGGTTATTGATTATAATGAGACTTGGATAGAAACCCCTTGGTATTGTATATATATACTAATGTTTACGAACTCAAATGACCATGCATATCGGGGGTACAGTGAGCTAAACTAAAGGGGGAACGAGAAAACACGGAATTTTCAGCATTTCTGACAGCTAAATTTGAGTGTCCAGAAAGTAAATTAATACACAATAGGTTCAGTTTCAACGCTTTAAATGCAGTTTTCGTCAGAAAAATTTTGGATAGTAAGAATAAGAAATAAGGATTTTGGATCGTAGAATAAAGAATAAGGATTTATGATGGGGTTGGATTTTCATCCAACGAGTTGTATGCCTTCTATCCTATACCCTATATAATTGTAAATTACATTTTGATACAAGTTACAAAACTCACATGCATATAAATATTATGTTCACAAAATAATTTGAATAACACTATTTTACAATTCTGCATATTTTCTGGCATGATTATTCTTTGAGCCAAGTACGCAAAGTAAGAGAAAAATGGGAATATCATATGTAAATGTTGATAATTATAAGATAAAAAGATGGGAAACATATTTATCGTTTACGTAAAGAAAAATGCAGTTCTTTTTTTCATTAAAAGTTTTCTCTTCTTGTCTTTTCCATTCTTTTAGTTTATCCTTTTTTCTAAAAATGACACGGAAGCACTTGTGTACGCACGCTTACCTACACCCCTGTCTATGGAAATAGCATCTTATTTTAAAGTTCTGCTTTTTTAGTTCCCAATATCACATATGCACACTTGGTCCTCATCGTCAAATTTGAAATCGTTTCTGTGCAAAATTTCAAAGTTTTACCTTGTTTGCTCCTATGGAAATAGCATCCATTTTGGAAATTTTAAACCTCTAAGGATTTGGGAGGTACAACACCAATATATGCAGTATGCAGTTTGAATCATATTTGGAAGGAAAAAGGTTAATTTTGAATAAAATTCCCATTTTGTTTCCATGACAAAAGTGGCAAACGTTTGTCCTTTTTTAAAAATAGAAATCAGTTTGACTGGATGCAAGATATAATCATTTAGGGTCCAAAAGCATTGGCTGCCCACTTACTGTCAAAAAATGAAATTTAAAATCTTCAAATGTCTCTGTATAGCTATTTCAAAAATTTTAAATGTTGCACGCACATCCTGTAGCTTTTTTTTTAATCTTTAATAATAAGATATATATAACCATAGAGATATAAAATAACACTATTCTTCTTTTTGAAGAATCTATTTAATGTGCATTGGAGACTAGAATCACTGTCAAATGACACGCGATGAGGATTCTTTATAGAAATTTCTCTTATCTTAAGACATCAGCAAAATGTATTTGATGTATAAACCTTTGATGGGGATCGTGTTTCTTGGCTTTTAGATTTTTTTTTTTTTTTTTTTTTTTTTTTTTTTTTTGATCAGGAACTTTTTTTTACCAAACATTTGCTGGAAGTCCTCAATTTGACATTAAGTATTTTTGTCTCCCGCTTTCGCCAAAGCAAGGGGACATAAAATCCTATTCGTCTGTCAGTGTGTCCATCTGTCATAAAAAGTTTAACCTTGGTCATAATGTTTGATTCTGACCTTGAAGTTTGATATTCTTTTCAAAAATTTTAACATTGGTGATAACTTTTGAATGAGAGAAGATAGAGCGTTCATATTTAATATGTGCTTTAACTGTGACAAGACCTTTCCAATTTTATCATGACTTTTAACCCCATGACCTTGATCTTGTAGTTTGACCTACTTTTCAAAAAAAATTGTTATATATGCCTGTTATAAGACCTTTCCGATTTTTACCACCTGACCTTGAAGCTTAACCTACAAAACTTTCAAAATTTTAACATTGGTAATAACTTTTGAATGAGAAATATTCCTTTTGTGTTGACACATACTTTTAGAAGAACCAGTTTGTTCTAAAATTGGCATGGCGTACAGCTTGAATTTCTCTTGCAGATAATTTAATATCAACATCATAACTAGTTAATTACATGCACTGTGTTCAATTTAATTACAATTCAAATAATAGTAAATAGCATTGTAACTTGTCCCTGCAGCCTACCTTGAATTCCCACCAGACGCATTCACCAATGAGCAGAGAGCACATGGCGGCTTCATTTTACATTTCATCATGGTCATCTATATGTTTATTGCTTTGGCTATTGTGTGCGATGACTACTTTGTGACTTCACTTGATAAAATTAGTGCGGTAAGTCTGTAAGCTTATTTGTATGGAACTCCAAATTAACCTATATTCAGATATGTTTACCTAATCTTCAAATCCATTTTACCTATCTCCAAATAAATAGAAGAAAAGTTTGATTTAATTATACCCATCTTTCATTCAATTTTCAAATAATTTGGAGATTGGTACAATTGATTTAAAGATAGGTATCACTAGATTGAAGATTTAAAGATAGATGCAATTGAATTGAGCCTAGAAATAATTGGCTTTCAATACTTACATGTTTCTTCAAATACGTTGTGGAATTGAATTGTACCTATCTAATCAATTGTACCTATCTCGATATGAATCAAAAGATAGGTATAATTAAACTGAATCTATCTGTAATTAAATTGAGCCTATCTGTAATGGAATTAAAAAATAGGCTTAATATGAACCTATGTTCAATTATTTAAAGACAGATAAAATTATTCACACCTATATTTAATTCATTTAGACCTTTCTTGAATTCAATTGTACCTATCCTCATTATTTTGAGATAGGTTCAATCAGTTGAAGATAGGTACAATTATTTGATTTGTACCTATCTTCAAATCCGAATTGTACCTATCTTTAATTGACTTGAATATAGGTTTAATTTAATCAAACCTATCTTTAATTCATTTGGAGATAGGTTCAATAGATTTGAAGATAGGTATAATTGAAGATAGGTAAAAATACTAAGTATTAAAGGTAGGTATATAATTGGTTTAAAACAAAAGATAAGTGCAATTGAATTGAACCAAGGTATAATTTATTTGCACCTATCTTCAAATCCTTTGTGGAGATATTTTAATTGTATCTATCTTTAAATCATGATCAATTGTACCTATCTTCAAATGATTTAAAGTATAATTCAGTTGAACCTATCTGTAATTGAATTGAATCTCTGTGTAATGGAATTAAAGATAGATTTTATTAATTTGAAGATAGGTTCAAATATTTAAAGATAGGTCTATTTTTCATTTATACACCCTCACAACGTCAGGTGTCCTGTGTCAACTCGTTGCCGTGGGACCCCTGCCGAATTTCATTCAGTTGATACCTAAAATGTACCTATTACACATTGTTTATGACCAAAAGGTTTAATGTGATTGGTTAAGAGATAAGAAAAATAATCAAGTTTGTAATTTTCCTGTTATTCGTTGCTGCAGTGAGCCCGTAAGATATCGAAAGAAATTTGTCAGGGGTCCCACGGCAACGAGTTTACACATGACCCCTGACATTATGAGGATGTAATTCATTTAAACCTATCTTTAATTCCATTGTACTTTTCTTCAATTCATTTGAAAAAAAGGTTCAATTATTTGAAGATAAGTATTATTTGAATATATCTGTTAAGTTGGCTATACATATATCTGAGATTCCCACGCATAAAGATTGTCACTTTTTTACATTTTTTTTTTTTCACAAAGCTTTACATTTTTTAAAAGAGTATCTAGTCATTGACTATTGTCGCTGTTATCTGACCTGAACTAACGATAATGATAATGAAATAAAAGCATCCTGGATTTTTGAGACATCTTTGAAGATTTGATTTGGTTAATCTTACTGATGTGAAACAATTGAAAAAAAAATCTTATTTTATCCCTAGAAACTTGGTTTGAGTGAAGATGTTGCTGGCGCTACTTTTATGGCGGCCGGCAGTTCAGCTCCAGAATTATGTACTGCTATCATAGGTTAGTCTGGTACTCTTGCTTTAGAGAGGAAATATTTTCAGCTGCTGTTCACCAACTTGAACTATCAGGTCACTGCTAACAAACACATTAAAGACACATTTTTGTTATCTTGTATATGGAGGGTACTGTCGAATATCTGTAATTCTTGAATAAATCCATTATCGGTATGATACCAGTTAGTGTCAAATGAGTTTTTATCGTTAAATACACTTTATGTTTTTATATTACAGGAGTGTTTATTACAAAAGGAGATGTGGGAGTGGGAACCATTGTTGGATCGGCTGTATTTAACATCCTTTGTGTCATTGGTCTGTGTGGGATATTAGCTGGCGAGGTAATTATTAAGTGTAAGAGTTATGACAATTGTCTAATAAATTCATGCATTTACTATAAACAGTTAAACAGTGTATTTATGTTATTTAGCGACATCATATAAATATCAGTATATTTTTGGATTTAATTGATTTGAGCTCTTGTATGTTCATATTATGGCCTGTGCTGAGTTGTGCTTTATAAATGGGCAAATAAAGTATAGATGGACATCTAGAATAAACATATTTTACAACAACTAAACAAAACATTTAATTATTTAAGTACACTTTTTAAAATATCAAAGCCTTCTTCGAATTTTGTTGTCAGATCCCCTTTCTCTCTCTCTCTCTCTCTCTGGAGATTCCAAAGAATATTAAAATTAGATAGGGTTCATCCTCAACTATCGTATTGACTCCAAACAGCTGCTAAAACACGTTTAAGAAGGTCGATAAAGTTGTTTACTATTGACAAAAGGAAAAACGTTTGAAAAAGAAAGAAATAACCCTCGACTTCAAACACGACCATAAGTTACTTGATTATTGTCATAAAACTAAGAAATTAAAATTGACGTCCAGGTCTTCCAGAGAGACTGTGACCAGACGAACATTTTCAGGCATGCGGTTGATATGCCCTAACCAAGATGTATCTGTATATCTGTAAATGAGTTTGAATCAAGGAATCCTTCACACCATTCTGCTTATTGAGTTTAAGAAAAGAAAAAGAAAAAATGTGAACTCAACGTCACTTTAGATATCAAGTCAGTATAATTTGTATTGCACTTAATCAAAAGGAAATTAGACTTGGAATAATTATGCACTGAATTGCAGTACAGAATCACTTTTTGAAAACATTTTGAGTGAAGATGTCGCACAAAAAATCTATATTCTTTATAAAAACAGAGACGAATAATATATTTCTCCGATGAAACTCAGTTTTTTACGCTGCTATAAGATTTCTAGACTGTCATACAGATGTCCAAGACTGAATAATCTCATTGACTCATAGCAAATGTCATTAGGTTTATAAAGCCGCTCAAAAGTTATGGCTACGACGTAGAGAGGCTATAATGACTGATCTAAGTAAGATAATATTTAGACAGTAGACCGCGGGTAATTGATTGGATTAAATGTGACAAGTGAAAGAATCGGCAAGTCTACGGAGGGTATCCTAATTAGATGAGGGAGTACAACACATCGATTGCACTACATTGGCCTCGCGCGCAGTACCAATAGAAATGTCATCACAGTGAAATATTGCCATGAACATTCAGAAATAGTCACCTTTCTAAGACAGGAGATAAATCCTCCCGTGTTGATTTATTAATTTCTCTATTCATTGTAGTCACCCACGTGGCGCAGTGGATAGAGCGTTTGCTCTAGAGTCGCGGTGTAAGGATACACTAAGGAGGGTTCGAATACACTGCGGGACGTGGAGATCGGTCCTTCGGATGAGACCGTATAAACCGAGGTCCCGTGTCGCAGTAGGTGCTGGCACAAAAAGATCCTTTACTGCTCAATGGCCCTGAGTGCCAAGTATAAGTCAAAATTTGCAGCCCTCCATCGGCAAGTGGTGGCGTCTCCATATGAGTGAAATTCTCAAGAGGGACGTTAAACAACAAACAAACAAAACTATCGATTGTACCTTTGCATTTTTTATCACCCTTTGTCTGGTGTCTGTTCTTCTGTGAACTATACACATTTCGACTTCTTCTGTGGAATATTAATTAAACGAATTTCACCAAACTCTTGGGTTAAACAGGAGATAATCAAGAAAAGACGTAGATAGAAAGGTTGGGGCCATATAAAAAAGCTTCCTCTGAAGAACCACTGCACAAGGAATATAAGTCTTTCTGGTATTATAGATTCAATTTTTACCTCACCTCGACAAAGTCGAGAGGAGCTTATGTCATACCTCGGCGCTGGCATCGTCGTTAGAATTCATAAAATTCTTAGGACCAAGTTCATTCCCAAGTAACTATAATCCCTACTTAGACCAAACTTGCAAGGATGAGGCATCTAGGGATGGACACAACCAGACTTACTTTGGATGCTGGATCTGACCTACATTTTCCAGATTATTGAAGAAGTAAAAAAATTTGGGAGCAGGTCCATTTCCAACGAACTATAAGCCCCACCTGGACCAAACTTGCAAAGAAGATGCATCTAGATATGCACACTACCCAACCTGCTTCGGATACTGTATTTGACCTAAATTTTTTAGATGAGTGACCAGTTTTGCATGGATAATGCTTCACCAACCTACTCGGATGCTGAATTTTTCCAGATGAGAATTGCTTTGGAGCAGGTCCATTCTCAAGGAACTATAAGCCTTACCCAGACCAAACGTGCAGGGATGATGCATCTAAGGATGGACACTACCAGATTTGCTTCGGATGATGGATCTGACTACATTTTCTGACGAGTGACAAGGTTAAAGGTTTTGGAGCAGGTCCATTCCCAAGGATCTATTAGGCCTACTTGGACCAAACTTGCATGGATAATCCATGTAGGGATGTACACTACCCAACCTACTTCGGATGGATCCGACTTAAATTTTCAAGATTAGTGAAAAGTAGCCCTACATGAACCAAAATAGAGGAGATGATGTAATTAGGGATGGACACTTTTAGATTTGCTTTGAAAGTAAGAATTGGCCTAAAGTTTCTAGGTTAGTGAACAGGTTAATGTTTTTTGAGAAAGTTCATTCCCAAGTAAATATAATTCCATCTTGGGATGCACATTAACTAGAAAAAAAATTAGTGTGAGATTTGCCTTCCTTATAGTTAACATTCGTCGAGGTGAGCTTCGTAATCTTTGATTATATATGTTTATTCAACTCATGAAGCCCCTCGGAGGTAGTTTTGGGCCAATTTGGGGGACACAGTTTTGGGAGTATAAATGGCAAAAGTCTACAATTTTCCTTAAAACACCATATTCAAGTATCCTCAGATAGTGCTAATTCAAATTTGTTCAATTCATGACCCTAGGGGTACCGGTTGCTTGAGGCCACAATGCAGGTTCAGTTTTACAGGGAATGTCTAGAAAAAAACATAGGTAATCAAAGATTACGAAGCTCACCTCGACAAATGTTATCTATAAGAAGGGCAATTCTCACACCATAATTTTTCTAGTCAGTGTGCATCCCAAGATCAGTATTCATGGAAGTTCGGTTTAAGTAGGACTTGTAGTTACTTGGAAATAGACCTACTCTAAAAACTTTAGCCTGTTCATTCATCCAAAAAATAGGCCAGTTCCAACATCCAAAAGAAGACTGGTAGTGTCCATCGTAAGATGCATCATCCATGTAAGTTTATTCATAACAGGCCATAAAATTATCGAGCTACTCCAAAAACATTTAACTGGTCACCCATCTTGAAAATGTAGGTCAGATTCAGAATCCGAAGCAAGACTGGAAGTGTCCATCCCTAGATATTCATTCATGCTAATTTGGTTAAAGTATGGCTAAAATTCACTTATCTGAAAAAAAGTTAGATTCAGTAGCCGAGGCAGGTTGGTTAGTGTTCATTCGTAGATGCATCATCCATGCAAGGTCCAGGTAGGGCTTATACTTACTTTCGAATGGACCTGCTCCAAAAAATCTGGTCCTTCATCTGGAAAATATAGGTCAGATCCAGCATCTGAAGCAAGTTTGGTAGTGTCCATCCCTAGATGCATCATCCATGCAAGTTTGGTCAAGGTAGGACATATTTATTTGGGAATGTACCTGCTCCTAATTATAAAACTTTAACCTGGTCACATCTAGAAATTGTAGGTCAGATCCAGCATTCGAAGCAAATATGGTAGTGTCCATCCTTGGATGCATCATCCATGCAAGTTTGTTCCAGGTAGGACTTATAGTTACTTTGGAATGGACCTGCTCCAAAAACTTTAACCTGTTCACTCATCTGGAAAATGTAGGTCAGATCCAGCATCTGAAGCAAGTCTCTTAGTGTCCATCCCTCAATGCCTGTCTGCTGAGACTCGCTGTAGACGAGTTTTACTATGTTTAGTTGCCAATTTTCGAAATTCTGAAAATCTTAATTTTGAAAATAAAAGACATTGAGAAACTGAATCCTTGGACTAGAATTGTGTATGCTCCAGGGATTTGAATTATAATTTTCAAAGGCTTATTGACACAAAATTGACTGGAAAATTTGAAAAGGGGGCTTTAACTATAACAGCAATTGATTAAGCAGATCTCTCTCTCTCTATCTTTCTAGTGACTTTTATGATCAATATTTGTGTGCCTCAGTCAGTCATTTCAAAAATTACATGCCAATTTAAAGTGTATTTGCACAAAGTTTAAGTAACGATAAAGGGTTCTTAAAATAAAGGGCATTATTGTCTCCGAAAAAGGAGAGGCTGATAAGAAAATGTGCAAATATACATTGCCTAAACTTTTTTGCACCATAGGGCCAGATATGTGTTTTAAAGCTAAAGAAGAATTAATTGAAGAGTGTCCTTATATAGCAAAAAATCAAAATACGGTCCTCGGTCTCGAGCTGAAATTGGACCAAAGTCATATGAATCGGGTGAGTGATTTGGTTTATGCATATCTCCTTTCAGGTGGTGACACTTTCGTGGTGGTCTTTTACCCGGGACGCTGTGTACTACTCCTTCTCTGTCCTTGTTTTGATCTTGGTAAGATTTACTTCAATAACAATTCTGGTAAAAGTCCAACTGATGATTTACTTCAATAACAATTCTAGTAAAACTCTGATGATTTACTTCAATAACAATTCTGGTAAAAGTCCAACTGATGATTTACTTCAATAACAATTCTGGTAAAAGTCTGATGATTTACTTCAATAACAATTCTGGTACAAGTCTGATGATTTACTTCAATAACAATTCTGGTAAAAGTCCAACTGAGATTTACTTCAATAACAGTTCTGGTAAAAATCTAACCGATGATTTACTTCAATATCAGCCAGCCTGTCATTTTCAACAGCATTATTGAAGGAAATTTTCGTTGTTATGAATAAATAAATAAAGACTATAGTATTTGGCTCTTATATAAAAAAAATTATTAATAGCCTCATTCACTCAACGGCAAATCTATATGAAAAAAATCCTTCTCGAACGACAAGAATGTTTTTGATTGACATGTGACCTAAAACACAATCAAAGAATGAAGTAGTTCCTTTCGTCATATTCTGTAGGTCGTACAAGATGGGAAGGTGACATGGTACGAATCTCTCTTGATGTTAATCTTCTACGGAGGGTATATTCTTGTTATGAGGTAAAAAATAGAAGCATCAAAATAAATCGGATTTTAGGAGCTTTGTTCCTAGCTTTTTTTTTTAAACTATTCACATTTTAATGAAAAGGGCTACATTACACACAGATTCGACGTCCCCATTCAATCATGGGTGTGCAAGAAGATAGACAGGATCCTAACTTCTAATATCCTCCCAGTCAACGGCGTCAAGACATTCAGCAAAGACTACGGTAAGTCAAGTGTAGCATCAAGACATTCATTAAAGACTACGGTAAGTCAAGTGTAGCATCCAGACATTCAGTAAAGACTACGGTAAGTCAAGTGTAGCATCAAGACATTCAGTAAAGACTACGGTAAGTCAGGTATAGCATCAAGACATTCAGCAAAGACTACAGTAAGTCAAGTGTAGCATCAAGACATTCAGTAAAGATTACGGTAAGTCAAGTGTAGCATCACGACATTCAGTAAAGACTACGGTAAGTCAAGTGTAGCAACCAGACATTCAGTAAAGACTACGGTAAGTCAAGTGTAGCATCAAGACATTCAGTAAAGACTACGGTAAGTCAAGTGTAGCATCAAGACATTCTGTAAAGACTACGGTTTGTAAAGTATAGTCTCAAAACATTCTGTAAAGATTACGGTTTGTAAAGTGTAAGTATCAAGGCATTCAGTAAAGTTTGTAAAGTGTATTATCAAGACATTCAGTAAAGACTACTGTATGTAAAGTGTAGCGACAAAACAATTAGTCAAGACTATGGTTAATAAAGTGTATTTCAAGACATTTAGTAAAGACTCGGAATGTAAAGTGTAGCGTCAAAAAATTAAAAAACTGTTTTTAAAGTGTAGCATCAAGGCATTCAGTAAAGACTACGGTTAGTAAAGTGTAACGTCAAAACAATTAATAAAGACTATGGATAGTAGTGTAGCATAAAGACATTCAGTTAAGACTATGGTTTGTAAAGTGTAGCATCAAGACATTCAGTAAAGACTAAGGTTTGTAAAGTATAGCGGCAAGACAATTAGTAAAGATTATGGTTAGTTAAGTGTATTGTTAAATCTTATATAGAATAACTATAATTGTTCCACCACAATTAAATAAAGTTTACAGTCAGTCAAATATAGGGTCAGGATTCAGTAAAGATTACAATTAGTTCAGTGTAGAGTCAAGAAATTCATTAAAGACTGATATTCAGTAAAGACTACAATTAGTTAAGTGTAGGGTCAAAACATTCATTAAAGACTGTGGTCAGTGAAAATTAGTGTCGAGCTTTTTTTTTTAGAATAACTTATTGCCAGCATTTTAGTAAAGACTATAGTTAATAAAATGTAGAGTCAAAACATCCAGTAAAACTACGGTAAAAGCAAATTAATTTCCTGATTTGTAGGAAAATCCTAAAATAGAATAGCTTAATACAAGAGTCAGTAGAGTGTAGTGTCAAGAATATATCAGTGAAATAATACTCGGTAAAGATCATAGGTAGTGAAGAAAGTGTCTTATCTGTATTAAAGGCAGAATATCTTATGGTTTACACAATCATTATAGACTAGCGTCAGTCAATTGTAGTATCAAGACATTCATTAAAGACAATTTTAGTGGTGAAAGAGTTCTAAAAACTTTGTAGGAAAGCCTTATCTAGAATAAATACTGCCACTCCTATAAGTAAACACTGCAGTCAGTAAAGTGTAGCGTCAAGACTTTATGTAAGATTATGTCAGTGGAAATAGTGTCCTCATTCGTAGCAAGTCATTATAATTGTTCGCCGAGATTACACATCAGTATAGACTACAGATTTTTAAATCATAACAATGTCAAAACGATAAGTTAGTTACAGTTAGTTTAAGCACAGTGCCACGCGTATATTACAGACTAAAGCTTGTGAAATATTATCAGGAGAATTTTAAAAAGCCTATATTATTTGAAATGCATTAAATAATATCATAATTTTTAGTATGTTTTAGTACATTTAAGATGAAATAGATGAAGATGACGAACAGTGACCATATTCAAAAAACCTACAAATAATACCCCTGGAAATGCCAAAGATGGGATCGGGTGCCTAGGAGGAGTAAACTGACCGGCCCGCCTTGAGCCCTATGTATTGATCAGGTAGACGGATTCATCCGTAGTCAAATTTAGTTTAAAAACAAAGGCCTAACAATTGTTGTAAAAGCTTGTTGTAAAAGGCTTTGGTTTACAAAATGCTGACTTTATATGAGGTTGTTGAAATCCCTGTAATATCAACATATTTATCAAAAGCCTGCATCGGTTTAAAAATTGATCGTGCCCAGAGCATGCTCTTTAGTATCAAATAAGTTGGGAGGTATAAAAACTATATACAGGTGATGTTGAATATTAATACATAAATAAGAAAAGCTTACATAAAGCAAAATTAGGAGAGTTTATGGAAATTCATTATGTCTAAGAAATCATAAAGTATTGCAGAGTGTCAAGAAATTCGGAAAAGCTTACACTTGTAGAATAATTAAGCTTTATGACTCGATACAAGTTTACTAAGCTACAAGATAAGTGTTGGTACATAGTGAATACATCACAATTTAACTGACACTTGGCGTCATTCAGAAAAGACTACCGAGTTTCTGCATGTAAACAGATAGGAAAGACGAAGCTTAACATTTTATAACAAAAACAATTTCATTACATCTATAAACTATTAATAAACATGGGTTAAGCCATACACTTAATATGGTTGTTAAATGAATATTGCTATAAAACATACCGAAAAATATTGATTTAGTTCAAATGAAATGCAAAAGTTGATATTAACGAATACGAGAGCGTCCAAAATTATTTTTGGGACATGTTTTAACTTTCAGAGGTGTTTGAGGATGATGATGACGTTTTCATTTCAATGGACCACAAACCTCCAAAAATTTCTGAACCTGATATGCCAGCCGACGAATATGCTAGATCAACAAAAATAAAGTAAGTCACTGTGTACACTTAAATTTCTCTTTAATAATTGTCGTAAGTTATTTTAAGGACCCTCTACATTAGAGGAAAATATTTATTGGACATTGAGAAAATTATAGTGTGTATAGGTGTAAGTATTGAGCTTATCTATCACATTTTCAACATAGGGTGCCTTGCACTTACCTCCAGGAAAAATGTTCAAAGACAATGAAGTACTGATGAACATAAATCACTGTTGTTTACTTAAGTGGGCAAAATACCTGCAAATTAAGTGTTCTATCTATTCATCTTGGCCTATTAAAGTGTTATGAATGCTTGATTTGATCACAAATTAAGTAATAAATTGTACATTTCAATTTATTTTATTCTTGATCAAAGGTAGATCACTCTATTTGCATAAAAATACCACAAAATCAGAACTCTCTAGTTTGCAGTGTATAGAGGGCTCTTAACTTTCTAGAGTGACAACTACACCAAAAGAGCGAAAACCGATACACCAGTCGCTAAGTTCCAAATATTAATTATCAAATGTTAATTCACAGATTCTAATACCGTATCTTAGTTATTGGATTAACAATATTCAATCGGGAATATAGTTTTTGCAACTTTTTAAACACCCGTCTTAGGCCGGGACGGATTATGTTATAGCCTTCATATCCGTCCGTCCGTCTGTTAGCTTTTTTGTGTCCGACTCATAACTTTACTACTATTAGACCTAGAATTATCAAACTTTGTCAGCTGATACGTCTTGGGTAGAAGGTGTGTCGCGCATTAAAAGAAGGTCGCTCTGACCTTTAATTAAGATTCTATGGCCAAATATGGAAAAATCCTGTCCGGCTCATAACTAGAAAACTATTAGACTTAGAATCATCAAACTTGGCCAATTTATGCATCTTAGGTAGAAGGTGTATCGCGACCTATTTGAAGGTCACTGTGACCTTTAATTTAGTGAATTTTTTTTAAAAAAACTGTGTCTTTATACTATTGAATTGCACAATCCCCAAAAATGTGAGAATGTTGCAGTATCCTTATTAAAAAAATGTTAAATAAAAAAAATACTTATTTTTTTTCATTATATACTTTACAGCAATCTATAACAAATGTAATGTTATAAGAGAAATTCCACCTCTCCCATGGGTGTAATCATCAAGCACTGGTCAAGGAGAATTTTGATAACAGAAAATAACATGTCAAATTAGAGAGAAATTAATGAGATTTAGTGTGAGGAGCCAACTGGTAGAGCATCTCTAATCAAGCAGGTGTTATCTATATCTCTTGGGAATTGGGCAAAGGAATCAGCCTTGGATTAAATGAATCTAGCTGACTAGCCTTTTAACTTTTAAAATGAATTTGGTGAAAAGTAAACTAACCTGATATTGTATAATAAACTAATTGGATATTGTATAATATAATTAAAACTAATTAGATCGGGGGGGGGGGGGGGGTATTGGAATCAGCATATGTCGGTTTGTCTGTCAATATGAACTGCAGCTTAAAACCAGTCTGACATTATAGCTAATTAAAAATCAAGTATTTCTTTAAAAAATTGATTTATGGTAGATAGTTCCTACAAATCTAAGAGTCATGCAGTAACCTTATTAAAAATATTGCATCAAGATTACAATTTTTTTTCTTTTTATAAATCTTTGTAACAAGTTAAAAAAATCTGTTTTCAACGGAATGACATAAATATGCATATTTATTTCAATACAGACTATTAAAGCAGATAGTGCAGATCCATTCATCCCTTAGGAGTAATGAATGGACATGCATCCAGTTAAAGATTATAATTAATGAGTTCAATGCATAGGAAGGCTAGCTTTCTCAATCATTTCTGTTAAGAGCATCTCTGATCAAGCAGCTTTGGGAATAAGACAGAAAATCTGCTTGTCAGTTTATAGCATATGTCATTTGATGGCCAGTCTTTTATTTTCAAAATTAATTTGGTATAGATTAAATTGTTAAGACTATATTGATATTGTCTAATATGATATTTTAATTAAATGTTTTGAAAAGGAAGGGGGCTGCAGATGGGCATTACACAACCAGTTGAGAGATTTATTACATGTATAATTAGTGCCTGCACTACAGAAAATGTATAAACATCAAATATATTATAAGGAATGGAAAAATCATGGAAATCTTTGAAGTAAGGTTGACATGATTTTCTTGCACCCTAAACTGTTTATGATAATTGAACAATATTTGACGGGCGTATCATGCTGTGGTGGGGCACTTTATTAAAGTAACATTTGGTGATCGGCAATAATTATCAGTTGGTAATTGCCCACTATAATAAAGCATCTTGCATTTTGAAGTAGCAATGCTTCAAACTAGGAATTTTTTCTCCTGCGTAAGAACTTTGACAATTCTGGAACATCCAGGCACCTTTTCATTGAATTCTTTAAATTTACTGGTATTTTGTTTTCAGACCAAAGTTCTGTGATTTCATCTTTCGATTGATGATGATGAAACGTTTTCGTCCCAAGACAAGATTCCGATCGGCAGCCTTTCTGATCATATCATACGTAGGTACATACACTGTATGAAGGGTTTCTGATGATATTATACACAATTTCTGAAGGTTATCTGATTATATCAGACATAGGTACATATTCTGTACGAAGGTTTTCTGATCATACCATACGTAGGTACATTTTCTGTATGAAGGTTTTTTTTTAATGAATGCTAAAGTATAAAAGTATAAGATACATGTATTATGGAAGTTTGCAAATGATTTGATTGAATTGATCAAACACGAAAAATGAACAAACATCTCATTGAAATAATTATTTTTTAAATTTACTTTCTTTAAAAAAAAACGATTTAATAAGTTTTAATTTAGTTAACATAAAATTGTAGAGGCGTGGCATGCTTATGGATACACATTTGCAGAAACGCCAACAGTTCCGCAAGATGGCGCAGAAGTCTAGCGTCCTGTCATATACCAGATCTATTCGAGGTTGGTGAGTGGCATTTTACTGCATCATTAAGCAAACTATACTAGTATCATCTTAAATATCCACAGTGAGCTTATTATGCATATTTGTGAAATAAAAAGCAAATGCAATGATTCAGTTGAAAGATTATAAATTATTTTGGGATAATAAAGATCAGAAAACAGGGATATGTTAAGTGAAAGCCAGTTGGTGAATTGGAACACATTTTGCATGACAGCGTTGTGCTTCCATAGTTTTTTTTTAAATTACACTTTAATACATTAAATTATTGTAAACCCTCACAGAAACCATATATCAAAATTGCCATTTCATCTACAGGTTTAATATGACAATGGAAGGAGAAAACCTTGATGGCTGGAAAACTGTACCAAAGATAGGTAAGTCATAATTTACTGTTTCTTCTTTAGAATCTAGTATTTTGTAATCTTTATGGAATTATTTTAATGATACTAACCCATGCTGATTTCAGACGAAGGTGTTCTCAAGCTTATAGGCTGGGGGTCTCTGTATCCGATAAGGTTCATTTTGTATTACACCGTGCCAGACTGTAGAAAGGAGAGGTAAGGTCCCGAATGCTTACCCAAAATACTGTGGTTACATTGTTATATAATCAGCTGATTACATTTTTGGGTGAGATACTTTTATGTAAACAACTGGCACTTGTCGTACTATTTTTTTCTCATCACAAAAATAACTTCAATTTAATAAGAGGTTATTTTTATAATTCGAAAAATTATTGCATCAAAAGCCGGTCTCAGCTAATTACATTGTTTAGGTAATACAGTGTTTTGTAAGAACTCGTTACAATTTGTAAGTAAAACTATGTTATATAATCTCACTCATAAATTTTGTAGGTGTGTTTGTTATGTAATAAATCCAATTACATTTGGTAGGTGGGACATTTTGTGGATAGGACGTAATTATGTAATCACATCATTACTTTTTGTAAATTTTATTAAATCTACGCATTGCATTTTGTGTGAGGGACATTGTTTTATGTAATCAACACTGCATTTTATAGGTTGGATACTGTTATGTAGTCAAAATATTGCATTTTCGTAGGTCAGAGATTTTATTACATTTTGCAGGTGGGAGAACTGGTTTATGGCTACGTTTGTGTGCTCTGTGTTGTGGATTGTTATATTTTCTTACATTATGGTGTGGATGGTAGGTAATATTCAAACACTGTCTACACGTTCTTAAAATGGTTTGTGTTTCCCGTTGATAATCTTCCATAGGATGAACTATTCCTTTATTTTATAAAATTACATATATGTACTTAATAATTCATACATTGAAGTTTCATTAAATAGTTGATAAATCACGGTAATACATTAAATAACTTATCAGATTATTAATTTAACATGTTTCTTTTAGAAACCTTTATTTAGTGTTTATGTATAATTTCAAGAACTTTAATGATAATTAAAACAATATTTCATTCATAACTTGAGTATACATGTAATTTATGCCTCCTGGAAGCAAGTTTAGATTTATGGCTTTCACAATGGATATTTTTAAAGGTGACGTTAAAATATGGGATACTCTTTAGTTGAGATTTGTTTATGTCAATCATTAGTTTATTATATACCTAGGCTATAACATACATTATTATATGATTCAATAATTCCTTTCTGTCTGATTGGCAGATCCAACAATGATCAGAGTGAAATCATTGTACGTAGAAAAAATACTACGTTATATTCACTTGCACGTGACCTTCCAGGTGAATATAAGGATTTACTTTTCTCACATTAAACTAAAAATATATTGGGAAGTTCCAAATTGATACAAATTGTTTTGAAAGTTAATTTCACTTGCACCCGACTTCCACTCATATGAACATAACATTAAGGCATAGATAATATAGATTCTTGGGTGAGGGGGTTGGGGTGTGGGGTATTCTTTTTTTCGTGACATTTACATAGACATTAAATAATTGAAAATTATAGATCTGCTTATGTACAGATTACGTTCATTGCCTTGGTTATTTTCACAGGTGACGTTAATCGGTTACACGTTAGACATTCCGGACAGCGTGATGGGTATAACGTTCCTAGCGGCCGGAACCAGTATACCGGACGCCATGGCTAGCGTCTTTGTCGCTAGACAAGGTAGAAAAAAAAATCCAATTTTACTCCATCACTTATTTTACCTTGAGGGTTTCACTGTAATAATGTCGAGCCTAAATTGATTGGTTAGTACACATGAAAGTGCAGAGTTTTGGTTATGACTGCAAATAATATCGAATATGAAAGAAAATGATTTTCAGCTTTTGAAATATCTGTTTGATTTAGAGATAACAACTTGAATGATATTTTAACCATAATTTTGTAAATGACTATTCAATATTAGAATGATATTTTCCTCATAAAGAATTACCTCGTAACTTGCAGGAATGGGTGACATGGCTGTTTCCAATTCTTTAGGAAGTAATGTTTTTGACATTCTCTTAGGATTATCGTTACCATGGTTTCTTAAAACTGGCATTGCTTATGCTGGAACAACAGTAAGTGTTATTTCAAATAGAATATTATGATTTTTTATCGCATTGTATCATATAAAAATTAAGTTTTACGGAGGAATTTTATTTACATTTTGAGCTATTTTATTGAATATCTGTGAACCGTCGCGTATTATAGTAGAGTACGCAATCAAGTTTGTGTGTCTTCGGAAATTGACTATATTTTCAGACATCCAGACTGAATAATAACACTTTATTGAGATGGATAAAAATTCTGTTTTCCGGAAATTTGTTGGTTAATCGTTTTCAGACATTTGATCAATATTCAGAGGGTTGTTTTATATCGTAGAGCTGCAGATGACCTTTCTCAAATATCACGAGATCCTGACCATATTTGATATAATATACTTGTATACATCATTTGTTGACTTAAAGTCGATGAAAATAACGTTTTACGGTACATTTTAGATTCAACTTACTGACGTTTAAAAATTGAAGATGTTGGTATAGCAATAGCTTCGATATTTAAACAGTTCATTTCTTTGTTTGATAAGCAGACATTGTTCAAGAATTGGTGAATATTATCTTCAGACATCTTTTCCACAAAAATCAAATGATCTGCATTTAAGAATACGATTTAAAAGACCTGCATTCAACTTATTAGCATTGATTCTAGATTAAATGTATTTTCCTTACGTTTTCCATAAATATAAATACATAGGTTGTATAATCATTTTGGGATTTTCTAATTGTGGTTTACTTAATGAATTAATTAAGGATTTATTTTTATGAGCCCTAATAAAAAGTAACACGCACACATCGGATCACAGAGTTATTTGGTTCCTAAAGCCGACAGTTGTAAGTCTTGACATATAATATTGTGTTATTTTCCATTGTAGGTGCACATCAATAGCAATGGAATGGTTTTCTCTATACTTCTTTTATTTCTTACAGTAGTTATTCTAGTAAGTATATACAGACATAAAAAAGTACCTTTATATATAAAGATTGGCCCATGAACTTTCATAACTGTTGATAATACATTTTACTTGTTACAAAGGAAGACAGTGTCCATTTTTATTTATTATAACATGTATATAATACTACAATTTTATCGATAGTTTGGAGTTAGCAGATGGTGAAATGCTTACATTCCGAAGTGTTAAACATTGACATATCCTGGATATTTCTTTTAAGAGCAAGTAGCATAAGAAAAAAAACGGTTAATCGATGCAAACAATATATTCTATCATTAAGAATTTAGAGTACGTCATCGCGTGGATTGAAGCAACACCCGAAAGTCCAAACAATCATTAAAATTGTCCTATTATTTAAGTACCTTTTCAATAAGTATGAATATAATTTTTTTTATTACAGGTTGTTGCATTAAAGTACACTCGCTGGCGACTGAACAGGAGGGTGGGGGCTCTTTGTCTCTTGGTTTACGCTGTATACATCCTATTTTCTGTCATGATTGAGTGCAATGTGTTTGGGTTTGTCAACCCTCCTATGTGTGATTAATAAAGTGTCATATACTAGTGTAACAAGAAATAAACTAAAATAAAATCACGTTTGAATTAATGCATGCTGTGTTGAAACCGTGGATTATAAATTTTCTTTCATATGCATGTATACACCTACGACGGTTGTTCGGAAAGTTCGTGGACAACCATCAAAACTTTTTTACTTAACGTCATATTATATCCAAATTTGGAAGAAATATTTCAACAGTAAATTCAAATGATGTGTATTAAAAGAATCTAAAATATCATGGTTTATTTCAAACTTATTTAGACTTTAAAAATGCGAATCACGGAGCAGGTCAAAATTTCGTAATTTCATGGCCGTAGGAACCGGAGGGGGGGGGGGCGTGCCCCCCCCCCCCAATAATTTTGCCGATATATAGATTACTATAGTAAACATAGATACTATATGCTTGTGACCCCTCAATCCCTCAATAAAAACGTCTGATGACCTTTTTTTTTTGCTTGTCAAGGAATTTTGGCAGTTGATGACGTTTTTTTTTTTTTTTTTTTTGCTTGTCAGGAATTATTTGGTAGTGCCCCCTCAACTGTCAACTGAAAAATGTATGGCTGTGCCCCCCCCCCCCCCCCCAACTGAAATTGCTTCCTACCGGCCTGAATTTACAATCAAGACAATAAATAATGTCTGAAGTCATATCTTCTGTAACATGGCACAAAATCGGAAAAATTCTACACGTTCAAATTAAGAATTGTTTCATGTCTTCTGATTCCAAATTATGACTTAATATTTAGCTTCGTTGAAAAGAAATCAGTTTCAGAAGATAGGTAGTCCTCATTGAAAAAGCCAAAAAAGATGACGTCGTAGAACGTCACGGAGCAGCAGTTAGCCATACAATTTTGTGTTATACTTTCAAAAACTCCATAAAAAAAAACTCTGAAAATGCCGAAGTAGGAAATATGTCAAAAGCGAGCCATGCATTTGTGTGTACATGGTACAAGCGTTATTTGAATGATAGGCTACTCTGCTTAGATTATGGTGATCTCTGAGAAAACGGATTATCTGTAAAAATCTCAAAAACATTGAAAAATTTGTAACGTCATGATAAGAGTTTGGCGCTTCACAGATGCTGATCTTGTGAAAGCGTATTAATGCAGTGAAAAAAAAATATAAAATTGACAAACAAAATAATGCTACTGGGACAATTGTTAGCAAAATAGATTTCAAGTGACAGAAAGTTTTTAATGAGTGCACTGGTATTGGGCAATACTGTGTGAAATGTATAGGGATAGTATTTTTGAGAACCTAATGTCGGTATGTTTTTGACGTTACAGTGTTGTTGAGTTTGCTCCGTGGTTACAAAACGTGTTGATTTTAAAATTAAATGACATGAATTCTATTAAATCACATGGAATGAAACTTCATACTTAAACAAAATAAATATTTTTACATGTGATAATGTGCTCATTTTAAATTTTTTGAAGATAGTATGACGAAGATTGGCATAGTCCACGAACTTTCCGAATAACCCTCGTACATTTATTTTATTTTAAAGAAAAAAATCTGCAAACCTTTAATGTACATGTGTATCTAGGAAAGTTTAGATATTTGAAGAAAATGTTGACATAGAGCGTGCAGTGCATCAAATTTCAGTTTTCTTCTTTAACCTTGAAAACAACCATCAATTTTCTATTTGTACTCGATTAATGTTTCCATAATGTAGACAGACTGAGATTGATCGTTTGTATTCATTATGAATATTAAGAAAATCAATAAACTGGCTGACATTCACATCCTCAATACTCGACTATTTTCTAGAAGATTCAGAGAATAATTATCAAATTAAAAACATAGCTGTCTGTCCAATAAAACTGGCACTGAATCGAAATAATTATTTTATAAGATTTCATTAAGATTTTACCAATCAACTTCTGGAACCAAGTTTAACAAAACTTAGTATGTTATTTAAGACCATTTCATAACCCTCACTCCAGTTGCTAATGCTCATCACTTTGTAAAATTTTAAAACAATATGTTTCGAATGATTATTTGGGAATTTAAAAAGTACGCATCATGTTTAATCTTTAGATGATCAAAAGCTAAATACTTGTAACAAGATTTGTTATACGCGGCGAACTGGAAATTGTTACAGTAAACAGAACCATTGAAAAGTTATGGCCAGGTATACAGTTTTTCAAAAGTAGTTCAAACTCTAAGGTCAAGGATAAAAGGTCAAAACTGTTCGTATCCAAGGGAAGGTCTTGTCACAAGAAATACACGTTACACATGTAAGCCATATAACCAACTGTTCCAACTGTTCAAAAGTTCTAGCCAAAATCGTTTTTCAAAAGTACATGTAGGTAAAACTCCAAGGTCAAGGTCAAAATTAGTGGAACCCGACGGTAGGTCTTGTCCCAAGAAATATTCCTTTGAAGAATGAAAGCCCTAGCACTATTCATTCAAAAGTTATAGCCAAGGTTAGAGTTTTTCAAAAGTAGGTCAAACTCCAAGGTCAAGGTAAAGGGTCAAAATTTTTAAACACCCAATGGTATGTCTTGTCACAAGAAATGCACAGGTTAAGTATGAATCCAAAGCACCGACCGTTCAAAAGTTATAGCCAAGGTTAAAGTTTTGTAAAATTTTGCGAAAGTGAGTCAAACTCCAATGTCAAGAGGTCAAAAATGAGGGTACCCAAGGAAAGGTCTTGTCAGAAGGAATACACGTGTGCAACATGAAAGCCATAGCTTCAACCAATCAAAAGTTTTTGCGGACAAACAGACGGACGGACATAGCAAAAACTACTTAGTATTTCTTCGATTACAGGGGCATAACAAGTATTGTAAAGCTAAAAATAGTTTTTGTATTATTGAATCTTGAAAACTTCAATGCCTGATACTATTTCTGTATCTAACTTTCTCAGACATCCCTAATCGTTATTTGTGGTATATTCCGTACTACCAGTCTATGACATTTTATTAAGTTGATGTTATGTAAGACATTTAATTATGCCCCCGTATCGAAGATTCGGAGGTATATAGTTTTTGCTCTGTCCGTCTGTCTGTCTGTCTGTGTCCGCAAAAACTTTAACCTTGCCCTTAACTTTTGATTGATTGGAGCTATGGCTTTCGTATTTCACATGTATATTCCTTGTAACAAGACATTTCTTTGGGTACCATCATATTTGACCTATTGACCTTGACTTTGGAGTTTGACCCAGTTTTGCCAAATTTTACCCAACATTAACCTTGGCCATAACTTTTGAACAGCTGGTGATGGGGCTTTCATACTTCACATTTGTATTCTTTGTAAGAAGACCTTCCTTTGGATACCAACAACTTTGACCCTTTGACCTTGGAGTTTGACCTACATTTGAAAAAACTTAAACCTTGGCCATAACTTTTGAACAGTTGGAGCTAGGGCTTTCATACTTCACATGTGCATTCCTTGTGACAAGACCTTCCTTTGGATACCAACAACTTTGACCTTTTGACCTTAGAGTTTGACCTACTTTAAATTTGGAAAACTTTAACCTTGGCCATAACGTTTGAACAGTTAGTGTTAGGATTTTCATACTTCACATGTGTATTCCTGGTGACAAGACCTTTCCTGGATACCAACATCATATTTGACCTTGACCTTGGTGTTTGACCCACTTTTGCAAAATTTTATGAGACTTTAACCTTGGCCATAACTTTTGAACAGTTGGAACTTGGGCTTTCAAACTTCACAGGTGTATTTCTTGTAATAAGACCTTCCTTTTGATACCATCAACTTTGACCCTTGAACCTTTGACCTTGGAGTTTGACCTACTTTTGAAAAAACTTTAAACTTAGTCATAACTTTTGAACAGTTAGTGGTAGGGCTTTCATCCTTCACATGTGCATTCCTTGTGACATGTTCTTCCTTTAGATACCAACAACTTTGACTCTTTGACCTTGGAATTTGACCTACTTTTGAAAAACTTTAACCTTGCCTATAACTTTTGAACCATTAGTGTTAGGGTTTTCATCCTTCACATGTATATTCCTTGTGACAAGACCTTCCTTTGGATAGCAACCATTTTGGCATTGACCTTGACTTAGGAGTTTGACCTACTTTCAAAAAACTTTAACCTTGGCCATAACATTTGAACGTTTGGTTCTAGGGCTTTCACATTTAATGAACATGTTTATCACTTGTGACAAGACCTTCCCTTGGGCACCATTTCACCTTGACCTTGACGTTTTACTTACTTTTAAAAAAACTTTAACCTTCGCCATAATTTTCAATGGTTGGTGCTAGGGCTTTCATATTTCACAGGTATATTTCTTGAGACAAGACCTTTCTTTGGTTACCAACTTTTTTGATCTATTGGCCTGGAATTTGACTTGCATTTGAGAAACTTTAATCTTCGCCATAAGCTGCCATACGGGGGCATCAGTGTTTCACAAACACTTCTTGTTTTGGGGGGGGGGTTTGGAAGGGGGACAAGAGCATGCTTTATGTATGATTTTAATATGGAGCTCAGGAATTTCAAGCTGCTTTAGTCTTTGGAGCCAATTAATGAACTCGTTCGCCAAAATACGATATAATCACAGATACATCTAGTAAATAGTTACGACACAAGACATTTAAATTGGCAGTTAAAAAGGATACAATTTCAACAAATAATTGACAATCAAACAGAATTACCCTGCAAGACAAATGATATAATTTGAATGACAAAGAGATCAAAGGTTCACTTAAGTCCTTGTTTTTCTGTAAACCCACAATGTCTATATCGAAATTCATTTTTGTATCGCTATAACGACCTAAAGGACCACGGTTTTTAGGATGAACGGGGGAGGGGAGGGGCCAAAAGATGTAATCTCATTGGATACTTTAAATCCTGTGCTGTATGTAGATTTACATTCAATCTGGCAGTGCTATGTATATCTCCAGAGGTCCCCTGGGTCTGTTTTGAACTGATGTGTTTACATAGACGTAAGTAAATGACTGTTAATGCCACTTGCTACAAAGAAACTTTTGTTCCTTCAACAATCATGAAAATACTAAATCCATTTTTAAATCAATAATATATACAAAAACTTTATTTTTATTTTAGCAAGGTAGCAATAATGTCTTTTTTAAATTAAAATTTTTAAAAAAAATCGTACAGCTTAAAAAAAATCTGAAAATTTTGAACATCCTAGAAAATCTACATTTAAAAAAAATTAGGAAATTGATATTTGCATTATTCACAACCAAAGTAAATTTAATATATACTATAAAAATAAATGAATCCGATTTTTTTGTTTGATGCAATTGTCCTTGACCCATGATTCAATATCTATTACTGGCATTCCTAAAAGTTCAATGCTTACTAATGATTTAAGAGGCAGTCCACCAGAAAACCAGGCAGTATTGTATTAATAGGCGGCACATCAAATGTGACGAATATTTGATATTCTATTGAAAACGAAATTAATGTAGTCCATATGGAATAATGTAAGTAAAGATTTGTTTGAAAATAGCTTATTTATTAAAGTATCGTTTTGGTTTGTGTTTTTGAATTCCCCTATATAAACCATTGAATGAAGGTCGGAAACAAAAAACTGTATATTCTAATACATTTTCAACAGATCTATAATTCACTCCAAACTAAATCAAGAAATATTTCATCTTTCAACTTAAAAAATAAAATCAGTGGGAAAGATATTTTCAATAGTAGTTTTCTTGCAAAATAGACAGTAATTTTTATGAAATTCTGTGATGCAAGAGTTATCTCCCGTAGCATTGGGAAATCGGCTAAACATCTTACTATCAGAACCCCTGAGAGATATTTAGAACTGATACGCTAAAGAATATCATTCAACCCAAAATAATTGGTCTATTTTCAAAAACGGAATAAATTTTCACCTTCAAACATAATATTTAGTTTAAAATTTGCTTTATTATTCAGGTTGAATCCACGTTTCCACTGATGTATCAGTGACGTCAAATACCTATCTAATATTGCGTCACAATAGTTGCAAATATTCCGCGGAAGTTGGTAAATGTATGTAAAAGTGCAAAGAAAAGGATTTTTAAAAAGTTAAGTTAAATAATTTCTCTTTTCTGTCCAATTACTTTTCCGAGTGCATTAAATAATATTGTGATCAAGAATGTATTTTCACGGGCGGTGCCTCAGCTATAGATGTTTTAAAACAATTATACAAGTCAGTATTGATAAGTAATTTTATACATGTACAAAACGTCTTTACAGTAATCACAAAAGGATTAAATTGTTTTATTTTTTTCAGTGAGTAAATAGCACATGTATATACTGGTATTTTATTATTCCTAAAAATAATTTTTCTAGTGTAATTTATTATGAACATTTTTGATAAAGCTTGGATGTGAAAAGATTAAGAATTATTTCTTATTATTCAGTAATGATGAATATTCCAGGTTTACGCAACATTGAATTCAGCAAAGTCGAGATGTGCACTTCATGAAGTGTTGTTAATACTTAAATATGTTAACTTATATGCAGTAATATCAAATGCAGCATTATACGATTGCTCACGATCGACTGTCGGACCGAATAAGTTTTAACAGTTGTAAGAAAAAGTACTCGTCACATCCCACTTCACTAATTAGCAATGGTTGTTTACTTTTAGTGTCGGTGGTTCAGATTCTGTTTAGACTTTAATTTTTTGAAAATGTAAAAACTGAAATAGAAAAACAATTACAGAAATCTATAAATTTACTACTTAATGAGGAAAATGTTGCTAATACTACTGCTGGACGCCCCACTTCAAGCTGACACTAAAACGGCAGATGATTCAATGGAACATTTTTTTTTATTTTCTTTTGAAAATTTGACAATTGTTCCAAATATCCTAAGCTTATACTTTATATGGAGTTAAAATAAGTCAGTAGGTTGGTAAATTCCCAAAATATCTCATTATTATCAAACCAGTTACAAAACGGATGCCGCCCAGACGAACCCCCCCCCCCTCCCCCCAACCCCCCGTTTTTTTTTTTTGTTTTTTTTTTCGTGCGATCATTTCTGGGCTCTCTTATCATGATTATATGTATGTAAGTGTACAGGTTTTTTCTTTTTTATTTCAAATTAAATTTCTTAGAACAGAAAAATTTTCATTAATATGATGAATGGATTAAAAAAATTGGATTAAAGCCGAGGATGTACACGTAAAAAATACTTGCTGGATTAAAGTACGGGCATGTATATTTTCGCCACTGCTGGACTATTTTTTTTTTTTTTTTTTAGATTTCCTTTTTATTCCAGATAATTTAAAAAATTATTTTTCTTGGAAATGAGATATTTTATTAAGCTTAAAATTTTCTTTTAATTGTTACATGAAATAAATATCTTTTTAGATAGGTGTGTATCAAGAAATCAATCAGATGTTTTACAAGTAATTGAAAAGATCTTCATGGACCTGAAAAACATTTAGTAATTAAGATATTTGTAATCTATGGATAAAATCATCTAAAAACGTAACTCACAGAAAAGAAATAAAATACAGACATATTCTTATGATAAAATACAACGAAGAGCGATTTTAGAAAATATTTCTAATTTTTAATATAGAAACCAATCCCGATTGAAATAAAACCGATCCCGATCGAAATTAATGCAAAATTATTAAGTAATCAAATTAATGGTAATTGCCACCTAGAAAACATGTTTAAAAATAAATCAAGTAATTTGTAAACCATATTAAAACAAAACAAACAAATTTCATGATGAAATCATAGTAGCTTTCTTCTTTATATAATTCCGGTCGGGATCGGTTTAATTTGGATAAATTTATAAAAAGTAGATAATTTGACGCCTCTCATTTCTCTCAATAAACCTGTTCCCACCAATTTTTTAAATTGATTCAACAATTTGTGCTTTGTATTCATAATAACATGAGGAGAAAGTTTTGACATTTAAATGTATTGGATTTTAGAACGTAATGAAAATTGGATAGTGAATTCATTAAGTCACTTTCTTAACTCAAGTTTAGACCACATAATTTTTTCTAAAGAAATATAAATTGGTGTCTTATTCATTGATGTTATAAAAGATAAGGGTTTATACTGTAAATAATATTTATTGACATATCCAGTTTTTGAGTATCTGTTTCAAATAAAACAAAACAAAAACGTAGTAAATTTTTAACCAACTTGTTGACCTTTTTGCACTTAAAATTAAGCACTTACCAAAAATAGGACTAGAGGAGCACTAAAAAAAATTTTGATGTTGCCATGTGTAAACATTTGCTTTAATAAATCTACATGCAAAAAATAATTAAAATCCAGGACATGCGATGTGCCACCCATTGCCTGGGTTTTTGGTGGACTGCCTCTTAATTCCATCTACGTTTCTATACTTATATAGTAGTACTATATTTAGTTGAATTCTGATTTCTGGTCAACATTGTTAAATGTATGATATACGTAGGTTGGTATAAAAGAAAACTATAAGCCATATTTATCTCAAAGAACTGCCAGGGGACATCAAGATGGCAGTGCTACGTCAAGCTATCAATCTCGTGGCACATGGCGGGGCTTAATTGCACGATTTATAAATAAAACACTTTTCCATTTACTGAACACCTACACCTAACACAGGTAAGTCGTCGTCTCATACAACACGACAATGTGTACAATATTTCGCAATAATTATTAAAAAATATTTTTGACTTGTACTTAAAAATAATATATTTGCATATACAACGACATAGAAAAGAGCGGAAAATAATCAGAAAGTAGTATGGATAATAAATAAAGTTAGTTTTTGTATATATAAAAAATAAACAGACCATAAAGTCATTTGCAAGAAAGTAACAAGATTATCAAAACGCTATAATCCATTGAAATAAAACGCCGGTAGTGATCATGTAAAGCCCTATTTCGTTTCTTTTCTAATAAAAGTATTCGATGCGGAAAATGTTAAGAAATGATCATTGAGTGTTTTAGCCAATGGGAGGTCACGACACTAATTAAATAATGACGACTGTGTTACGTACTTCATCGTGAACATCGTTGTTTCACACAACCATTTGATGAATCACAAATTTGAACGGAAACGGGAAAAGTTCCGCATATAAAATAATGATTTCATTTTATTTGCTTCATTTCAGATATGAACATAAGAAATATTCTATTTGTGTGTTTTTTGGGAATAGCATGGTTCGATTGTTCGACATCTCAAACTCAGGGAAGAGGACAAAAGCGATACAAATGGAACAACAGGCGCTTTCTAAAGAAGGTTGAAAGAAGGATCATGAATGGAAGACAAGTATTTTCTCCCAGAGCACTGGGAATGATAAAAAGAGGCTGGGGAAAGAAAAATATACACAATAAATTGAATAAAGCTTTTGGACTGTGTGATATACCTGACCAAGATGTAGTTAAAAACATGTTTCCGGGATTATTTCAATCCATTGATGATATCTATAGACTTCCTGAGATGCAACAAAATGTTTCAAAGACATCAACTGCTGACCGATTAGCAGAACCACCAGTAATACGTAATTGGCAAGCTCTGCCATCCAAAAGAGTTCGTATTCCCAAAACAGTAAAAGTATCTCAAGATGTTATCTTATCTTCCGGTACTTCCGGTCCTCAAAATGGGAGTTTCAGTCGGACCGGAAATCTATGCGATTGTTGTAAAGTGTAAGTAACGAAGCGTATGCTTTTCCTTTTATTTGGACATCAACACTTTACTTTAAATCATAGTTATATTGCTTTATACACTAACATACATTGCCGTAGTCACCATCTCAAATGGTTTTGTTAACTCTGTTTCAGAGATCGTTACTTTGAGACCTATGAAAATGTGACAGTCGGAGGTATATCTTATGAAGTCATTCGAATTCCAAATGAAGACCAGTTTTTTGCCATTGAAAGATGTCCGTAAGTCTACTTCTCATATCTAATATAAAGATTTTTTTTACCAAGTTCATAAAATATTCGAATTAAGGTTTTATTTGAATATTCATGAATTAAACATTCTCTTTTTGTAGGGAAAATCCCCGGTGTTTGTACGGAGGCTGCATACAGAGGTACACACGACAACCCATTCTTATTTGGAACGATACAAAACCCTATTATCCTCCGTTGGATTTTGCCCAGTTTGATTTCCCAACCCACTGTGAGTGGGCGAATATTGGACAGTGAGATATGACGATAATAAGTGAGATGTACATACAGTTACCATGGTGCCGGACACAATATAGATGCGCGTAAAAAGGTAGAAAAAAAGAAGATGGATCATATGATGTGTTTGTATTAGAGTGTGCCCAGCAGAGAGCCGAAGATTTGCTGATTTTCACTAATTTTTGACTGCAGAGAATGTTTAGGTTGTTTTCTAGGCTATTCTCTGTCGAAGACACACTCCTGCTAATGCACAGGTATCAGTTTCAGAATTGTACAGCGATATTTTTATTTTATCATTATTTATTTTTGATTTTTTTTTTACGTTTCTAATTCTGAATGCTCCTGGTAGTTTGTAAGAAAGTAGAAAATAATTTTTTCAACCTTACTATAAAAACCAACTTTTTTTTAAAGGTTCCGCGACAGAATATTTATTGTGCCGAATAATGAACTTACTAAGAAAATATTAATTTAACTATATATCAAAATAAATCTTTAAAATACTGTGATTGGATGATATATATACAGCATGCCTGAACCTCGTGGTAAAATTGTATACATTAAGCGACTCGTGTACCGCAATTATTTTTTCTTGGTATTGCATGATGTAGGGAAAAACGTATGCATAAGGCAGTTAGTGTTTATAATGAATCATAAAATGCCTTCAAGTGTAATCATCCCGACTATCGATTCAGATTTAATACATTAATATTAAATGATGATGTATTAAAAAATATGAGAATAAATAAATTGACTAAAAATTATGTATGTTATTTTTGATAAAAGCAGAGAATAAAAAAAATAAATATGAAGACTGAATATGTTTCCGATGGTATACTACGCAGTTCCAAAGTGTTCGGAGCACATTTTTTAAATTTTTAATCAGTATACCTTAGCACCAGAAATTTAGAATGACATCACACAAGATTTCTCGAGGATATAGCAAGATTTCTTGAAGTTATAGCCAAAATTTACAAGAAGCCGCGAGGAGAACGTGCTCGGAGAATTTTGTAAAAATCACCAAGGATAGAAACAAGAGGCCCATGGGCCACATCGCTCACCTGAGCACATTGGCTAGACAAAAGCACAAATCAGTTCAGTATTAAAAAGATTACCGGGGGGAGGGAAGGGGGCTTGAATTTTAAACTACCTGATGATGCTTCCATGTCAATATAACAAGTGGCTTTGTTGTACTTAAGAAGATTTTAAAAAAAATTTCCAATATATTCCTTTGTAAAAATTTGATCCCCCATTGTGGCTCCTCCCTATCCCAGGACAGCGGTCATCAAACTTGAATCTACACTACCTAAGGATGCTCTCGTTTCAAAATGACTAATCATGGCTTTGCAGTTCTTCAGAAGAAGATATTTTCCTATATATTTCTATTCAAGACTTTGATCCTCCATTGTGGCCCCACCCTACCCTCAGGGGTCATGATTTGAACAAAATAGAATCTACACTACCTGAGGATGCTTCCAAATAAATATGATCAATCAGGGCTTTGCTGTTCCTGAGAAGAAGATTTTTAAAGATTTTTCCTATATATTTCTATGTAAAACTTTGATCCTCCATTGTCGCTCGGCCCTACCCCCCCCCCCCCGGGTCTTGATTTGAACAAACTTGAATCTACACTACCTAAGGATGTTTCCATATAAATATGACTCATCATGGCTTTGCTCCCCTTGAAAGAGGGCGTGGCCCTTCATTTAAACAAACTTGAAACTCCTTCACCCAAGGATAGTTTGGTTGAAATTGGCCCAGTGGTTCTTGAGAAGAAGTCGAAAATGTTAAAAGTTTACAGACAGACAAACAGACGGACGCCGGACAAAAAGTGATCAGAAAAGCTCACTTGAGCCTTCGGCTCAGGTGGGCTAAAAATTGAATTATTAATTTGTTTAATTAAGTTGACGGTATAAAATATACAAATCGTTCCTTGTACAATTGTTATTACTATTTAAAAATTGAATTAGACTAAATTTTGCTCCATCCTGAACTGCCCCCCCCCCCTTTCTGAGATTTCTGGATACGACATTTACGATCTTTAGAATCAATGGGTTGAAATGAATCCCAATCAAATAAAATGAATCTATATAACTATAACATTGGAAGGACTGTAGTTATGGTTCATTGTCGGACAGGAATTGGAAAGGTCAATACATGTGTACATGTGCATTATTCTCAATGACTTTAAGGAGAGATTCTTGTCTAGTTTCTGACTAGATGAAATATTCAAAGTATTTTTGCTTATATGTTTTATATATTTAGATGTAAGAGATTTAAAAGATCATATTTTTCTTTCCTCATCACAATTGTACAACATTAAATAGAAATGGTAAACTGAGTTTGAAATCTAGCAGGGACTATATTTTGGGTGGAATGACGGCGTATGAAAATATCTTCTTTTCTGCCTCTCAAAATAATCATAGAACAATGAATTTAGTTTAATTTTTACACAATCAAAGACTTGGAAAAACATTTTTAAATGTAAGTTAAATTAATAATAAGGGACTAAAGTTTTAAAATATATCAAATAAATATGATTTTCCAAACAAACTACAATTATGTTAGCTTTTAAAAGCTTCCAATCTAAGTTCAGATTTGAGCCAAAAATCAGTAAAAAGTGTTTTTTCTCTCTTAGTAAATGGCCAAAACTTTTTGTTTTTATATCATTTTGTATCTTTATGTGACAACTTTCCCATATGTGAAATAAGAAAAATTTAAAAATAGGAAGCATATAGAAATAACTAAAATATCTTAAAATTTTAAGAAAAATAGAGAAAATTCGGATAAGCCAATATCCATTTTAGTTAAATTATTTATGTCAATTTGGTAATATCATCTTAAAGACCCTATATGGTAATATCTCTTTATGCAAAAAGAAAAACATTTAATTTATTGAAATAGAAGTAGGCATCGCATGATTGGCAACTGTATTTTTTTATTCTTAATGTCCAGGGGGAAAGGTACTGACCTTGCCTCTAATATAAAACGGTCAAATTTAATCTAACTGATACCATCACTTAGTGATATTGTCTTCTTGATTCTGTGAAAATTTCATTGATTTTTAAATATCAGAAATAAGTGTTCTTATGAGAAGAATCCCTCCTTAAAGGATATTGCCAGCAAAAAAAAAAAAATACATTTCACAGTCACAGAAATTTTTATCTTACCCTCTAAAAGGATTTATCACTAATTACTACTATCACTAAAGTAATGTCCTTTACAAAAATATTGATATTTCTTATGCAAAATTTGTACATGACAATTATTGTCATGTACAAATTTTGCATAAGAAATATCAAGATTTTTGTAAAGGGCAGTAACGTTCACGACAACTTGATCACAAATAAAGCAGTGTTAGCAATGTAAACTACATGTATATGTATGAGGTTCACAAAAGCTTTGCATTAGTCTTTTTATTTACATTATAACTAATGTATTGTTCAGTACGTTAGTATTATTACTAATCAACATCAAGACCAATGTATCTGTAATAAGAACATTTGAATACGCAACATGAGTATGCACATGAGGAAAAACTCTCTCTTTCTAATGAAAAAATCCAGTAAGGAATGCAATAACCAGCATTAACAGTAACGCGTTTGCATTGAGAAGAATTTTGGATTTTCTACCCTGGTGAAGAAATTGTCGTCGTTTCTGTACGAGAAATTCTTCAATCTGATGTACATCAGTGTGTCCGAAAAGAAAGGTCAGGATCTTCTGACAAACAGTCTTATCTTCTGCTTCTCCGTCTTCTTTTTCTTAAAAAAAAACAAAATGGAATATTTTTAAATTAGAGACACGTGACACTTACCTTTGTAGTACCTCAAGCACAGAATACAATGCTTCCTCTAGATCCCCGCATGCGCCTATCACCATGTGCTTTTTTTCAAAAGTGAGCCATAAGCATAAGGTAGAAAATAGGCTCATCCAACACACGGACCATGAGGGGGGATGGGGGTTGGGTTAGGTATAACATGTTCGCCCGTTAAACCTAGATTTACGCTGCTATCTGTTTAACTTTGCTCCACATGTGATACTTACCTCTTAATAACTTGTAAAGACTTAAAAGCAGTGCTCATGACTAGGGAAAGGGCGTATTTGTATCCTCCATATCCCCAGCGCTCTGTACAGTCCTTCCAAACTTCCAAATAATCTAGCCCTCAGCGACCTGCTATTTCACCAAGCTCTTGTCTGAGTCTTAGCACTGTTTCTTCAGACCATTTTGTGTTTTAGGAATACCGGTCTCTAGCACAGCACAACAAAGACTGTGTAGATTCGTGTAACTAGTATTTATTTACCATAAACTTTGACTGAGCCTTTAACATAAGGGGCTCTGTAGCACACAAAGAAATCGCAAGGACTTTCTTTCTGAAGGGTCAAACCATCATTTCATCCTCAACCCCTTGAATGCCAAAGGCTTTGTACAGGTGAGATTCCCGGAACTGACGCTTTGTACAGGTGAGATTCCCGTAACTGACTTGGCCTAGGTTTTCTGACCTTCTCTTTTTGGCGTTGTGTTTGTGATGACCAAGTTCGAGAATCGCATTGAATTTAATCACATGTGCAGCCTGGGGTACGGGTATGGTGGGTAGAATAGATCAGGGGCTGTCTGATGGGACTGAGGTGGCATCGGAATAAACGGAGTGTCGTGCTGCTGGCTCCCAAACCTCGAGGTAGGAAATTCGATCGAGTCAAGATTTGATTGACCTACTCTCCATATTCGGCTATCGAACTTTAACTACCTCCATTCTGAGAAAACGGTTGCTTTTTATTACGACATGTCTCCCCCTCCGAAGACACG